TGTGGAAGGGCTCCATCCCTTAGCTTTTTCACTGGTATATTTTATCACTTGAGCTACAGCTCCACTGCTAGTTTTTTTGCTGGCTAATTGGAGATTAGTCTCATGAACTTTCAGTGCCCAGGCTGGCTGTGAACCACAATCCTCAGAGCTCAGCCTCCTGAGTAGCTAGGATTATAGATGTGAGTCACTGGTGCCCAGCTTACAATACTATTTTGAAATTATTTCTATATAATTTAACATAAATGTTGATGAGTCTCAATTATGTGAGTTGAGATCTTTGAGATGTAAGATGGGGTGCTTATTTTTGGCACACGTGGAAAGATGAAAGTAGCTGAATCCCTAATGAGTGTAATTGGAATCTCTTTTTTAGTAAAATCCTAAGGATCAAATCAGATTTTCTAACATACTCTGATTGACTCTGTGAGTTTTATTTTGGCTCATCAGTTTATCCCTTTCCTGAAAAGTATTAAATATTTAGAAATGGAAATTTTAATAGAAAAAAGTTTGTAGTTCAGAAACTATCCTTTAGGTATAGCTTCCATTGAACTACTTTGATATGAAAGTTACTAATATTAACATGGCCTTGGAGGTCTGTACTTCACATTAGTTATTGTTCTTGTTTGGTCTCACATGAAGTCAGGGTGGTCCCCAATGGCCAATGAAATGCAGAGAAAGCGATGTATAGCTTCTGAAGTCAACACCATGAATGGCCTCATAGATCTGTCCCAGCCGAGGCTCTGGATGTAGTATGGAACACAGTTGAATTGGTACTCCCAAGTTGTGCTCAAAATGCAGATTCATGAGTACATTTTAGGCCATTTTAAGTTTCTGGTGATTTTGCAGCAATAGATAATTGAAAAACTACTCATCCCTTGCTGATTGCAGAGTGGGTAAAGATGTGCCAGGCCAAATGAGCATGGGAAAAATTTCAGCCTATGTTGCTGGGTCTATTGACTTATTGATACTATAAAGATATACTGCTTTGGGACTGTCTTTTGAGAAGTGACTATGTGGTCAAGATATAGGAGATCTAGAACCATCTGGAGAGCTTGTGGGCAGGCACAAACCCACAACCTATCTTTTCAATCCAGATGGATATAGACATTAAGTTGGACACGAAGGGTAGCCTTCTATGGTAAAGAAATCACAGAGTGTATGTATCAGGAGAGGGTATTTAGGAGGGGGAGGCAGAAGGATCCAAGCAGAAGGCCTACCACTGCCTGACATTGTAGAATTATGCTGCAAGCAAGGCCTTTTTACAGAGCCTGTTCCTCACCTGATTTTGTAATCTGAAACTTAAGCTTGAAGTTGCTACAATTATTGATTAACCAGCAATCTATTTCACTATATCCCTTGAGAGTCTTAATTAGCATACAAAGGATCTGTAGCAAGCACTTGGCTTCAAAGCCAAGAAGAATTAAAGTTGTGTAGTAGCTGCCAGCTTTGTGAATGAGAAAACACATAGCTGGTTTGGAAAAAGTAATGAGAATTCATGAGGGGGTGGGGCAAAAGAGGAAAAATATATGAGGGGGAAGGAGGGAGGGAGAGAAAACAGTAGGGCTAGCTCTGCTCATTGGCTTTCTACCCTTTCAAATTTTAGTTTTATTTTCTCATTTAATTTTGGATACATATTGAGATGGGAATTAACATAAAGGGGACTTGATCTTCTCTTTAATTAAGGGGGGTGGGAATGGGAGGGCAGGGATGGTAAGGGGAAACAGGAGGAGGCAGCAATGCTTGATAAGAAATGTACTCATTACCTTGCTCCTGTAATTGTAACCCCTCTGTATGGTATTTTCACAATAAAAAAACTTATTAATTAAAAATAATTCCTGAAAATATGAATGCTGTGTATAGGTTTGTTTCAGACTTGATTTCTTCATTAATGCCTACTACAAAAAAAATGGGAGTTTTCAAGATGGCCACAAATTGTATTCTTTGCTCATGATGAAGAACATTATCAACTATGGGAAAGAACTCCCAGAGGAATCAGAAAACCAAAGTTACATATTTATCTGTGATGAATTAGAGAAGAATAAATAACTTTAAGAAGTTGCACTCTGTGTGTGTGTGTATACAGTCCTGGAGCTTGAACTGAGGGCTTGGGCACTGTCCTTGAGCTTCAGTTTGCTCAAGGATAGTGCCCTACCACTTGAGTCAGCACTACTTCTGGCTTTCTCTGAGTAGTTTATTGGAGATAAGAGTCTCTCAGACTTTCCTTCCCAGGCTGGCTTCAAGCCATGATTCTCAGATCTCAGCCTCCTGAGTAGTTACAATTACAGGCATGAGCCACCAGTGCTTAGCTCTGTCTTTTTCCTCCTAGTCCTGCTTAGTCACTTGCATTGTGACCACAAATATTCTCTGGATCTCTCTGAATCTCTGCTGCAGTATATAGTGATCAAATTTCAATATTCTACAAGTATACAATGTCTAAAGGAGATAAAATCCCAATGTATCCTCCTACAGAAATTTCATCTCACTCTAGAGAAGAAAAGATTTTATTGCCTAATATCTGGAACTGCAATTTGCAGCAATTTCCAGTCCTGAAACACTGTACTTTTCTTCCTGGTTGTGCAATAGAGCACCAGAAGTGAAAAGGGGAACATTCTTTATTTTTGTCAGTCATGGGTCTTGAACTTGGGGCCTGGGTGCTGTCCCTGAGTTCTTTTGCTCAAGACTATTGCTCTATCACTTTGAGTCACCACTTTCTCAGTTTTCTGGCAGTTAGTCTCATGGAGATTCCTGTCAGGGCTGCCTTTGAATCATGATCCTCAAATATCAGCCTCCTTAGTAAACAGGGGAACATTCTTTCCTTCTGTTTTTTGGGGGAGGGTCCGGTCGTGGGGCCTGAACTCTGGGCCTGGGTGCTGTCCCTCAGCTCTTCAGCTCAAGGCTAGCGCTCTACCACTTGAGCCACAGCGCCACTTCCGGCTTTTTTCATTTTGCTTATGTGGTGCTGAGGAATCGAACCCAGAGCCTCAGGCATGCAAGGCAAGCGCTCTACCACTGAGCCATCTTCCCAGCCCAAGGGGAACATTCTTAATGCTCAAAATAGAGTATTATTTAGGATTCACACTAGATGGGAATAAGCGTGAGAACATTAAAAAAAATGAAGCTTAAATGCTCTTCATTCTGTATTATACAAAAATAACAAAATACTGTGCTGCAGAAACACCAATTTACCTTTTCTATTGCATAAAGAATATATTTGTGTTGTAACATTTGCTCCAGTAGAATAAACATTAATGTTTGGTGTAAATTTTTTTAATATCCTCAGACAAACCTCATACCACTTGCTTCGAACATATATGATTTGGAAATGGTATATCTTCCAGTAGGCTACAACTAACTTGAGATTTTTTAATATTTTTTTTTCAGTCATGGGACTTGAACTTTGGGCCTGGGTGCTATCCCTCAGCTCTTCAGCTCAAGGCTAGCCCTCTACCACTTGAGCCACAGCACCACTTCCGGTTTTCTGATGGTTTATTGGAGATAAGAGTTTCACAGCTTTTCCTTCCTCCGGCTAGCTTTGAACGGAGATCTGAAGATCTCAGCCCCCTGAGTAGCAAGGATTACAGGCGTGAGCCACCAGCACCTGGCTAATACATTTTTTTTAATTGTAAAGATACTGTACAGAGGGGTTACAGTTACATGAGTAATGTAATGAGTACATTTCCTATGGAGCATTGTTACCCCTTCCTTTGTTTTTCCCCTACTATCCCTTCCCTCTTCACCTCCCCTCCCCAACTCCTCCCTCCAACCCCCCTACACTGAGGTGGTAAAGTTCGTTTTCAACATAGTGTCTTGTACTTCTAACTTGAGTGTTGAAAATCCCTTTGCTATAACTCTGTTCTCTCCCCCACTCTCTGGGAGGGGTAGGGAGAGGGAAAATTTATGTTATTCATTCATTTACCTGACAAATATTTTATTGAGCACACAGCATGGATTTGGGACAGGGTAGGAAACTCAAAGTTACTTGCCTTTTACTATATGTTTACTATATGTTTTTTTTTTTTTGGTTCTGAGGAATCACAGTTCTAAGAGAAAGCAATAGAGAGAGTTATTCTGAATAAAATGTAACATATGCACTTATGAAATACCATGGTGAATTAATACACGGAGCAATTAATACACATTAAAATGAAAGGCAGGATAGTAAAACAGGCTCTGTTTGGAAGATAACTGCAGGAGGGGTTAGGTTAACAAAGGGGTGAATGAGGATGAATATGATTTAGTTTGTTTGCGTGTATGAAAACAGAATAATGAATTGTTTTAAGAAGGGGAGAAGGGAGAGTGACAAAAAAGTATAGTTGATTCGGATACATGTGTACGTATGCAATGCAAAAATGTCATATTGGAACCAGACTTATACGTATAACTAATGTATGCTCATAAAATAAGTATAAAATCATATTACCAATACGGAGACGGTACCAATTAATTATTTGGCCAAGTATTTGTGCAATTTTAGATCTATAGTCAGAATTTTAATAAAGTACAGAAGTAGATGAGACACGTTGTAGCTGAAGGTTTTGGAAGGGTGCCCAAGCCAGGAGATACAGTGTAAACTGGAGGGGTGATAGCTGGGAGGAGGACTTCAAGGCCATCTGGTATCAAAACGCATTTCTGTAACCTCATGACAGAAATCACAAAACATGTCGAATATTCAGCTAGACATTCTTTCCAGGACTATGGTTTAGAAATAGAGCCAGGGGCAAAGAGCCAAGAAGATAAGTCCAACTTCTCACCTAGTTCCAGGAGGGGCGGAGCTAAGAGCTAGACATGACAGAACTGGGGCGGGGTCAGCCAAGCTTTCACTCCCGCTGAGCAGCCCCGCCTCTAAGAGCTGACGTAGAGTTAAGCGTGATTGGTGTAAGACTACGTAGGCCTCTGTTAGTGGATTACGCAGAGCAGCACTCTGGCTTTTGATTGGCTGTCTGGACGTTAAGCGATCATTGGTTGTCAGGGAGACCGATGAGAAAAGAAGAAGGGGTGTTAGGCCTGGCGGGCAAACCCAGGCTGCGGGCGGCTGGGAAGCTTAGCGGGGCTTTGTCGGGAAAACCGTGGGTTTGAGGTGCCCACGGTTCACTACACACTTCTGGAAGTGTCTAACAGCGTGCGTCGATCAGCAGCACCCGCAAGCCAGGACCATGGGCTGCTTTTTCTCCAAGAGGCGGAAGGCTGGAAAAGAATCGCAGCCTGAGAGTGAGGATGAGCGGCCCAGGCAGTACAGCTGGGACCACCGTGAGAAGGTAAACTCCTGTAGCTTCCCGTCCTAATTTCAGCCCTCTCTAGCTGCCCGGTGAGGCCCCTTATGGACCGGCGATCACTGAAGAAGTCCACTAACACTGCTTTTCTCTCCAACGCGAGTAGCTGAAGTTGGGGTACACGGCTTTTGGGGTGGGTAATTTTAGGGGACTTTGCAGTAATGAACGGGATCTTGTCCAGGTAGTTGAATCCTCTTGGAGGGTTTCCCTGGGTTCTGCACCCTCACTTGGGCTGACTTCCTGTCCGAGGATCGGGCAAGAGGAAGGGAGGGAGGGAGCCGAGAGAATGAGCTGGATCTCAAATCACCTTCTTTTCACACAGGCAGCGCTCAGCGGAGTTTGGTCCGGTGGTCGAATTACACACACGGGACGATTCTCTTCTTTTTCGCCAGTTCTCTTCTGTGACTCTTTCTCTTTTGTCTACCTCCTTGGTAAATTTCTTTGGTGCCTCGTGGTCGATTCCAATGCTCAAGTTTCTCACTTGCTAAGTGAATTGTTCAATGTACACCTTTGCTATCCTCCTCCAGTTTCTCGAAAGGAATAAGGAATCAAGTCTTAAAATGTGTGTTAAGGCTATATATAAAGTCGAATTACCCGGCATAAACCAAGCAATGTTTATTCCATTTTATGAATGAAAATACCCTTATTTTTACTTTTAGTCAGAAACTAAGTAGCCTTTTTTTTAAAAACAGCCCATAGTCTTGCACAAAACACACTTAGTCATACATTTCATAATGGTTCCTCTTTCTACATAGTTCTTCAGTTGGGCTTTGTAAAAATTGGTTAGTAAAATAAGCACTTTTTACTTGCCGTTTACTTTTTTGATAGACTTATCTATTGTTTCTCTCTTTCAAACAAAACGAGAGATTTATTTCCTAGCGAGTGCAAAGGAACAGTGAACTCTTGCTTAATGCAGTGTATCTGGAACCAAAAAAACTTTATAGTATTTGTTATCAATACTTTCATCCTGTAAACCTTCCTGCTTGAATTCCAAGCCCTAGCACACTTAATTTATGTAAACAATTTTCTACAAGTGTCAGATTTAACAAATTGGAAACTTTCTGCAGAATTCTTAGGCCTATCTGTCTCTGATTCCCAGCCCCTTCTTAGGTCATGTGAGATATTTAATCTCTCTTAGACAAGCTTCAGAGCTTGTTTTTGTTTTTTGTTTTCTGTTGTTTTTTAGTAAGAAAGGAAATGACTTGTTTACTGTTGTATTATATGAGATTGTACTTACCAAAGTTATTGAATGAGTTTTGAAAGATTTTACTCAGCCTTAAGATTTCCGACAAAGCTCTTTAAACATGCATTGTCTGCCACAGAGAAAGTTCTGTTTTCATTTTTATTTTAGTTTTTGTTTTTAAAATCACAGGCTAAAGCTAAAGTGATTTTTAAAGCCTCTGATTCATTCATTGTTTCACAATAAATGGTCTTGTAGTTTGGAATTGTTCATGTTAATCTGTCTTTTAGATTAATGGATGTGTTGTTCTGTGATTTATTCTCTCTCTCGCTGACTAACTGGAAACATTGAAAAAAATAGAGTACTTCAACACCAAGATTTTCTCCCCCAGATGAGTGTACAATAACCTTTCTACTATAAAGAGGGAACATTTTTGAAATTGCTACTAGGAACTGAAGTTGTAGAGACATAGCGGATGTTACTGAATAGGTTAAAAAAATCTCATGTTTCTAAGTGTGTGTATAATAACAGTTACAGTGTTTTTTTGTGTGTGTGTGATGCTCAGGATCAAACTCAGTACTCTGTGCTAGGCAAGTGCTTTACACTGAGCTACATAAATAGTCCAACATACACAGTTTTAAAGCTAGACCAGACAGTTACCATTCAACTTATAAAACTTTAGATATAAAGACAAAATGAAATTCCTTACAACTTGGAAAAGTAGTGTTTAAATATTTCTGATACGGTTTAAACAGAATAACTTTATTAAAGGGCATCCCTTGGGTTTTGGCTTCTCAGTTGAGTAATTGGGTCAGCCTTAGGGGACTGAAGGAAGGAGAAAAAGCCTCAATTAGAAAGAATGTTTGGGGACATGTGTTGTCATGGCAACTGATATACTGTTGTCAACAGTGGAAACAGTTCATTTTCTGTTGCTGCTGACTTCCAAAAAGAAAAGAACTTACTGTAAATTACTATCCTGACATGATGGGAAATGCATTTAGATGTTGAACTGGTGTTGAAATCATTGATGCAGATATGGCTCAGGTGGTAGAGTACTTGAGCGCAAAACCCAGTACTGAAAGAAGGTTACTGTACTAAATCATTTGGAAAAATGCTCTTATCCTTGGTATTTATATTCTGCATTCATTAGTTAAAATTTTATTTAACATGTATATATTCAAATACCAAGGAAAATCCAAAATTATAGAACTTATTCCAGCCCTCTAAGAGCTTACTGGAGTTTTAAAGTTAAAATAAGAAATTATTAGGCACCAGTACTCAACACCTATAATTAGCTACTTAGGAGGCCGAAATCTGAAGACCACGGTTAAAATCCAACTGGGCAGAAAAGTCTGCAGACTCCATTTCCAATTAACCAGCAAAATGTTGGATTGGCTCAAGGGGTAGCACAAGGCCCTGAATTAAGTCCTGGCACACACACACACACACACACACACACACACACACACACACACTTAAGTTAACATGAAGTTCTTTATCCCAATACTCTTCCTCAACAATAGAAATGAGGATTCGTTCTCTAAATGATGGCTTGAGTGTAAAAGCTGTGATCTAAGTATGAAGGATACAATTATATTTTCTACATAATTGTATCTATGTCTCATACTTGAATTTTTATCTTATACTTTATAAGCATAACAGTTAACAAAAATCTTGTATTAGACATTTAATTGTCTATTGTTTAACTTTGGGTAAAGCCACAAATTTGTGCATTTCAGGTTCCTTGCCTATCAAGTGGGGCTGTGCTAAAGAATCCTTCACTGTTGAATAAGGTAAAGGCCTGTCCTGAAGAGAAGAGGTTAGACGGCCATGTTCATCTTCAAGGACAGAGCTTTACGCAGGTCATAGTTCCCAGAATTAGCTGGGTGTAGTGGTTCACACCCATAATCCTAGCTACTCAGGAGGATCAAATTTGAAGCCAGCCTGGACAGAAAAGTCTTTGAGACTTCATCTCCAATTAACCAGCAAAATGCCAGACTGGAGGCGTGGCTCAAGCAGTAGAACTCCAGCTATGATCAAAAAAGCCAAGCGAGAACACAAGGCCCTGAGTTCAAGCTCTGGCACAAAGAAATCCCAGAGTTGTTCATCAACGGAAGGGGTAACTTTGTGAAGAAATGATCTCTGTTAGAATATCCATAGGTTAAGACAGTAACCATTAGAATAAAAAAAAAGTGTCTACACTGAGAAGGAGGCTAGATGCTATATTAGTCTTCTTTTAAGTATGTAAGATAGTCTAGTTATCTGTTGTTGAATATTAAACCATCCCAAAACTTAATAGTGTAAAATAATGGCATATGTGGAAATGTAATGATGAAATACTCCCTGTATAACTAATGTCAGCTAATAAAAAACTGTGAAACAATGACAAGTATTTATTTTGTTCAGAACTCTACATTTTGTGTAAGGTATGGCATCAACTCTGGGCAGCTTACTTGGAGACTCAAGACCTTACCTTCAAGATGGCTTATCCACAGAGCTGGTTGGCAAGTGGATGCTAGCTTGCAGCTTAGAGCTCATCTGGACTAAGCGCTATATGCTGTCCATGTAGCTGGGCCTTCTTACAGCCTAATGGCTAGGGTCCAAGGTCAAATAGCACCAGAGAGTTTGGCAGAAGCTGCACTAGCAGCTTCTTTATTACAAAGAATAAATTTCATGATTTTATCGTAGATTTTCATGGAAGTCAAACTGTGGAGATGAATTTTAATAAAAAATTTTGTATTGCTGCTCAGCCAAAGAATAAGAGATTTACTTTTGTCTTCTGTTAGGATCATAATGCTTAACTTAGTTTAGTAACTTTAAGACATTAAGTTAACACCACATGAATTCCAGCCCCTACATTTTGTTTTGTTTTGAAAGTATATCCATCACTTTTTAAGAATTGTAAGAAGTCCCCTGTGTAATCCTAGTTACTCAAAAGCCTGAGATCTAGAAGATAACAGTTTGAGAACAGCCTGAGCAGAAAAGAGGGAAAAGTCCATCTCCAATGTAACCTGCAAAGAGCTGATTGAAGGCATGGCTGAAGGCTGAAAGCCTCAAATAGTAGAGTGCTGCTCTAGCAAAAACAAGGCCCTGAGTTCATACCTCTGTATCACACACACACACACACACACACACACACACACACACACTAAATTTACAATAAAATATATATTAAAAAAACTAAATACAGCCTAAAGTAAGCTCACTTCTTGTAATTTTAGACACTTTGAGAGTGAGAAACTTTTGCAAAATTATGGATCTAAGCTTTAGATTGTTTGTTATATTTTTGTTTTGAAGAACTCTAAGGAATTGTTGAGAAAGTAGAGCAACATAAATCCTGAGTTTCTCTTTTGAAGACTAGGTTGAAAATCCAAATAATTTTATATTACAAAACTGTTAACCTTGGACTATTTTGATGTATAAGGAGTTTCTCCCTATGATCTAGGAAAACTGGGAATGTCCAGAGAAAATAAGAATAGTAAATTACTTGTAACTTCAGCACTGGCAGCTGTTAGGGAATGGATGTCAGATTCATATGTTGAAGATCTTAACCCCTCTATGGTTGGATTTGGAGATGAGCCTTCTAAGGAAATAGTTAAGATTTAAATGAGGTCATAAGATGGGGCTCTGATCTGATAGAATTAGTGTCTGTATAAGAAGGCTCACCAGAGATTGAACACATACATAGAGGAAAGTCCTGGTGAAGACAAAGAGAAGACTTTTACAGTCAGAGCTAACATAGACTGCCATAACAAAATACCCCAGACCAGATAACTCAAATAACAGAAGGTGTTTTCTCAGAGTT